TTTATATTGGGATCGCCTTTTATTATTCTGTTGTTGACAGCAATCATTATATTACTTGCTCATGTATTATTCTGAACATGTGTCGAAATGTCGTTAGTATCAACAAAAATGTTGATAAATATTCTATTTTATTGCGGCGGTGTAGAGTTTTAGTTTCTTAGATTGTTGATTAGACATGAATTAAATTTAGTAATAAAATTGAAATTAATAATAAAATAAAACAAGTAGTACCTATTTTCGAAATAACAAAGAAAGAGCACTTTAAAAAAAAATCGCTGACGTCTATTTTCAAATACGACTAAAAAAGAAAGAAAAAAAATTAAATATCAAGAATTACATTCTAAAAATAATTTAGATTTTGTATCTATAGATCAGAACATCACGGGTAATTTACAAAAACATTTTAATTTTCGTAGCTATCAACAACAAAATAAATAACCGCTATATCGTATGTGTGTTTTGACAATAAAGTTAATGACTTATTGTTCAATCATCTGCGGTACATACCGATCGGTAAGGTCAAGCGCATACTCTTTACTAGCTGTGGCACAATCCTTAGCCTTTATAACAACAATAGTAGGATTAAATAAATAATGTACAAAAATCATCATTCTAACCATTTTCCCAAAACATTGTGTCCATATTAAAAAGGTACAATAAAATAATACTTTTGAAACAAACATCATCGGAACCTTACAAAAGACTAATGCTAGCGTAAAAATTTTGTGCATTTTCATATAAATCACCCTCCATACATTCTGACAAAAATAGATTGTTTCTCTTATTATTATCACTAAACATCGTTTTAAATTAGTTTTCTATCTAAACACAACGAATTTGGAAACTCCATTACAGTCTGGAACTTTCCAAACACGAAGTTTCTCATCTTAACTACATTTTGCGATATTGTCGGCGTATCTAGAACTAACCTTTTGTTAAAAAAATTCTGCCAAGCGTTTCCTATGCCAAAAGAAACATTCACGCTCAAAATATCACACTCCAAAATTGATGGATATAGTCTCGTGAACTGGTTTCATTCATTGTTTTGTCACTTAAATCACTTGAGGTAACTTGTTGACAAGCAAGCCAAAAGTCTTTCAAGTAAAATGTTTAAATCTTCTCGAATATCTTTGTCATTTTCGTTTCAATCTGATCTTCATTGACATTAACAATTGCAACAATTGTTAGGTTGAAATAATTTTGGATACGATACTTTGATACCTTTACTACATCTTTTTGTAAACTTAACCAGTCAGGATTGCTTGTCTCACATGGTGTAAAAGCCATCAAATTAATACGTCTTCATAAGTATGTGTTCAGCCAATGGCGCACCTATGTTCGCTATGACGCCATTATTCTTTTTCTTATCTTTTCTATGCAAGGTACACTTTTTGTCTTTTAATCCGATCTCAGATTTATTGTGTGTTGTCTTTATTTGTGACGAAACAGATAAGTTACGTTTTTTGGTCCCGCACGATCTATTGTCACTGTCTTTTTTATCACTTGAGATTTTGATAGCACTTTTTGTGTCCACAGTTTTATTTTTTTCTTCTTTTTGTGGTATTCGTTCTTCTTTTGATCCGACCGCTAGCTGTGTGTGGTCGAAGCATTTTGTTGATTTCTGCAGAAGAAAAACAAATTTTAGAATTTTTAAATTACGAACTTATCCATGTTTACATAAAAATGATCTAGCCTAATTACACAAACTTCCCTTTATGCAAATATAACCTACCATTTCTTATATACAGTTTCCTGATGATATCTGATAGATATTTAGGGTATCAGCACTTCGCTAGGACAATAACAGTATCTTAGACAATAGACCTGTATCGTGTACTATCGAGTCTAGGACATCGTCTGTTGATTTAACAGCTTCATTGGGAGCGACATAGTTTACTGTATCACTTGTATCCAGATCAACAATGTAGAGGTACACTGCAGACGTCTTATCGTAAACTGTACTCAATATATCTAACCTAGTATTGCAGTTAAATTGAAATATAATTCATCTTAGAAAGGATTTTTTATAAAGTTAAATGAGTCTATATCAACGATCAATTGTACACAGCAAAATTTTGTCCCGATACCTAAAACCCAAGGGTTAAAGACAATTATTTGAATAAAGAAGAGTTCTAAAACTTACTGTAGGACTGACAGCCTTAGAATATATTTGTGCTCGACCTTCCAGCTCCATTTTGAGTCGCCAGTCTCTTAGGTACATGTGAGCTGCTGCTGCACTCGGCCAACCTCGTCTCCACGTGTGCCACCTATTATAAATTAAAAAATATATAAATCACTTACTGAGATAATTAAATTTTCCGATAGATTAGGTTTCCAAGAAATTTTGACGTATTTAAATTATAAAGCAAAAAGAAAATGTACACTAAATGGAATCTGAACAACAATTTTGCTCAAAACAAATTGTTGGATGTCTGAATAAAAGTTCTGTTAATTATTGAACAGGTTTGAAACCCGCACGGTACAATAATTCTTTGTGTGATTCACAAATTATATTTTCGTGTATTATATGTATGTGAAATTATTAAAGACACAAACAGGACTGGAGAAAGTCATAGTTTCTATTTTTTAACCACACACCCACAACACTGGAGTCGTTGGTACTTTTCTCTACAAACCTTGTTAGTAACTGCAATGTCCTAGACTTCTGTCCCAGTGACCGGTACATGAGCGCAGTATACCTGAAGGTGATCAGGTCTGCTCTAACGTTCCTCTCAGCCCCTCGATACCTAAAACTCAGTCTTGTTGCTTCTAGGTAGTATTTTGCAGCTGGTGCTGGCAACCCTGCAATGTTCGTTACGTTTAAATCTCAGAAAAAATAATTATATGCAGATTTAAAAATAGAATGTGAGTTAGATTTAAAACTTGTTTTAAATGGGTTTAATTTCAAATGCTATTTGCGTGATCATGTTTTTTAGTGTAATTTATTATTAAACTTTAACTCAAAGAATGAAAAGTTTTAATATCTAAAAAGTAATTGTAGAAGGTTTTTGAAATATTTTTAAACAATTGTATAACTTGAATAGCTACACCTGTGCTTACTTTAAATTTAAAAAACGTTAACTGTTGATTTATATTAGATAAATTATGTTAAGCGGCTTTTTCGTGAAATTTTTGACGCCGTAACTCGAGTATTTTATCTATCTAGTCATGATAGGGACTCATTGTCGCTAACCGCTACTAACATAGGGTTAAGTTTACTTACTAACATCAAATGTATGTTAAATTATTAAATTTATGTTAGTCTGTAAGGTATGTATCTATGGGCCATAGTTGCCTAAAAATTAAGTTTAAATAAATGAATAAAATAAAAAAAAATGTCAAGGCGAGCGTCGCAGAGCAAACTGAATGCTTGATTTCGGTTGCTTTGTACGACATCAAATAGATACCTAAGTAAGCTGTATGACCAAAAATTACATTAAACTGTCAAACACCAAGCGGTCACCGGTGACCGCAACCTATTGTTCTATAATTGTGTCTACAAAACCGGTACTCGACGAGTTAAAATGCTACTTTTTTAGCATTATTGATAAACTTACCCCTACTTCTCAACCAATCACCATACAGCACATAATGTTCCCAGTTACTCGGTTCCAGGTCAATCAGTCTCTTCAGAATCCTCTGCTTCTCATTCTCTGTCTTTAGAGACAATAGTTCGACATGCGCCTGCACGAATCTAGGCTGTAGCCATATGCATTTTTCTAACATTGTTACTGCTTGCTGCATTCTACCACTTTTTCTACAAAATATTAATTGAGTTAGATTAATCTGTCGATTAGATAAAGTATATTTTGGAAAGAAACATGTTAAAGCTGTGGTCAACATTTTATACATTAGATTAAAGTTGTGAAACACGTAAGAACGACCTAAAAAGTGTTTCAAAAACGATGCGTGTAATTTGATAGGTAAATTTAAAACAACTTTAAGTTGTAACTATTTGGCTATCAGCCTTAAAACAGAACTTGAATATTATAATGCATAACAAAAATTGTAATATCGTTAGTTGCAAAATCACTCTTAACAGCTACACTTTCAGAAAACGTCCATACTAAACTATGTCTATTCTAGACTTCACAGTGATAACTGGCGTCACTATTCTATTGCCTAGAATGTGTGTGTTTATTAACACGACTTACTTATAAAGCTTGCCAAGGTTGTAGTGTGCATTCACGTGGTACTTATTAAACTTTATCGCTTGTAAGAAATGATGTTCAGCGTTATCCATACCCGACACCAGAGTGCCTATGTTGTTGTGAGCACTCGCGTAACTTGGCCATAATCTGAAACATGAATATTTTGAGAACCACAGGGAAATGTTAATAAATTTTTACCTATGTTATTAACAGAATGTGATAAGTTATGGTACATTTTATTTTGTTATTAATGGAGCTATTTCTATCGTCCCAAAAATACGTACAAAATACATAATGCGTACAGCATAGAAGACTTAACAATGAACAGTATTATACAAGTATCACTGTACTTGTACGGCCATAGTATCCGATGTTCGTTTGCGACGTATCAGCACGAATACAATGTTCATTCAATTGTATCAGGCCCCGTCTTTAGCTCCCCACAATTCCTCGGCACCTATCACATGGTAAAGCTACTTCGAGGCAATCTAAGGCGATTGGCACGCAATTTGATTGCGCTCTAACAGTTGTAAGAGGCCAACATTCATTAGACTGTACATTCGGAGCACAATCGAAACTACGCGCTTGAGATACGGTGCGGTCTGTGTATTGCACTGTACGTGCTAACTGTAGGTATCTATCCGAACTGAAACTAGTAACTACGTTCAACCCCAAAATACTTGTATTATTTCAACGAAAATTTGCTTTAGTTAAAGTTAGCTTTGCATCAAGCTCAACTCTCGGGTTAAATATCTCGCATACATGACGAATAGCTTAATAAACTTTCTGAACTCGACCTACAATAGTTCGCGTTAAGGCAAACGGCTTTGTTACCTCAAAGCTTCTTTGTAATGTTTGATGGCACTGTCTTGTTGTTCTGTCTCGCGTAGAAAGTTCGCCAAGTTGTAGTGCAGTTTAGCGTTCTGCGGCAAAGTCACTAAATCCGCCCTGCAACAAACAAAACACATTTAGAGGTAATTTACGCCCGAATGCGGCGACCGTACAGCGAATATTGCAAGACTTGTAAATCGTGGTTACCATTTTATGTCATGTTTAATACATTTCTCTTTAATGTTTTTGGAAATGAAAATTTCGAGGTGTTTCCTTATGAAAGTTATTAGTGTTTAGGGAAAACGATTTGTGGCACAAATTGCGTTTGTTTTGCTAATTATGGTACAGAGTTTTGGCTGTTGGGGATCGAAATTGACCTCATTTATTATGAAACTTTAAAAACGTTGAAATCTCAATATACATTGTTTACATAACTGAAACACAAGGCAGAGGTAATTGGTTGAAGCAGTCGCCTGAATACAAATCCCAACAGAGGTGACCTGTTTCGGCTAGATAGGAGATTAAATAAACATTAAAAGACGTCAATTTTAAATCTGTGTAAATTAATAAAGTATTCTGGAACATTGTCTAGAGTCTCTATTCAGAATCTACAAGGACTTTATAGGTTAACTTCGAATTTACCTTTGAATCTATGGGATCAATTTGAACAAAAGCCAGTACTAAAGCGTTCGGCTTTGAAGGAGTCGTTATAGAAGTTTATCTTGCACTCGGAATGCATTCAGTTTTCGGGGCCGAAAACTTTGTCTGATAACGACTGGCTACCCTATAAAGTTGGTGGAACGCGCACCTCACTTCACACAAGTACTCGAATAGAAACTATTTAAAACAGCTTCAGTTTAGAGTATGAAGATACTTCTGTGTGAAGTGTTATCCAAGCGAGCGAATGAGAAAACTGATACTCTTGATAGTGGTAGCTGTAATAAAGATAGGGAAGTTTTGGTTTAATAGAATTTTGTACTTTAGACGCACACTAGATCATTATAAACGACGAAAGGGTCTTGTAGCGTGAATAAAGAAATATCCATGAATGTTTATCTGACCTAAACCTGACCACACATGAACAAAACACTAATAGTGAATATTACCGTAAAAGATAAACATAAAACCATCTGAAACTCATAACGTTCCATTGGTATTTCTATTAAATAAACCTCTTCAAGTAACGCAGCCCGAACACATTCGTTCTTCCATAAACAAGTTCTAAAACTGCTTCTATAGAAAATTGAATAGACTCGTAAACCGGTAACAGAATTTAATATAACCAATATTTCATTAAGGCGTATTTTATGAAGTTGCCATCTTGAAAGAGATCTGAGTTTCTCGGGATGATATCAAACGCATTGAATGTGGTTTGAGGGGAATTTGTTGGGGTTGGACTCGGTATGAGGTAAAAAGGAACCTTATAGCATTACACCATTTTATAAGGTAGGGCATTTTAAAATTAATTTTAAAATTTAAATGTATATATTCAATGGGATGATGATTTACTCTTTTTTATGGGATAAGTCGGTAAACGAGCAGACGGATCACCTGATGGTAAACAATCGGCACCGAGCATGGACACCCGCAACTCCAGAGGCGTTACAAGTGCGTTACCGGCCTCTGTAGAATGGGGAATTGAAGGATTGTGGGGGATTTGGGGAGACTGGAGAAGGGGGAGTAGTTGGCCTATGGTAACTTCACTCATACGACGAAACACAACGCAAGCGTTGTTTCACGTCGATGTCTGTGGTGTGAGGCCATGGTATTGCTCCGGTCGATTTTCTTAGTAAAATAACCATTTATTAAACCGGAGTCAGGAAGTTCGGCGGTGTTTCTATCCCTGTACCCAGTAGATATGCAAAGCCGTTGGTCTAACGCCTGACCCCTCTCCGGTCGTGTTGGTCTGCCGCCCTATTGGGTTCAGAGAGTAAGAAATAGAGAGTGAACTTGTAATCTTGCCTGCGTAGTGGACTAGCCCTGTTAGTGAGACGGGCCACCATGATCGACATCCGATTGGGAGGATTTATTTTATTCTACGGTGGAGAAAATACTAGTGTTATGTTTTTATTAACCTGTATTCGCACAACCAACCTATGAAACCTTGAAAGTCTGAAACTTAGTTTAACTAAATATTAATTTTGTTGAACGTTGAACAAGTTATAAATCATGTTGTAGTTAAAGTTGAGATATTACAATTTATGGACGAGTTATTATTACTTTTGTTATTGTTTGAATATTTATAATTTATTTAGTTTATAATTTATGATAAATTATATAGAGGTATAAATAAACATTCCGTTTTCTTTTTGCCCTATACTATGACGTTCTTCTGTGTCGTAGATGCATTTACAATCATACAATTTCATATACCGTGACGCCCAGGCTCGAAACAACAATTTGTGAATTACAAAAGAGTTGCTCCATGCGGGAATCGAACCCGCAACACGTGGCACGGCAGCCAGTTGACCAGCAACCGCGCGCAGTCAGAATTTGCGATTAGATTATTAAAATGGAAAAAAATGTGAGTGTTGGCTATGTTAATACATCCATCACTTGTAATAAAAATCTGTAACATTGTTGTATTTGATTTATTACTTTTTGTATACCTGTATTACTACATAGTAATAACGTATTAATTATTCAAAATAATATTATTATTTGTACAGCGTACCATGTTAAGGTATTGTATTACAATAATAATTATTAGGTATTTATAATATTAGTAGGATGATCCAAGGTTAAGTAGGTAATTTCAATTACGAAGGTCTTTGACCTTTAACAGGCACATCGCTCTAGAGAAATGTACAAATAATATTTTCACGTAAATGAGAATTTCAAAAAGAAAATATTGTATTTTTATTTACAGACCATTATTATAACTGTCTAGGCCCTGCCTCAGGTCGAGCAAAGTAATACTGTTTTTTTTTAAATATCTGTGGTAGCATTCTCAGGCTCACTCCCTATCACATGGGACTCATAACATAAATAGAGAAAAGGGGGTGTTACATTGTATAGTGGCATAAAGTGCCGTTATGTGCATCTCTGCATACCCTTTCGATGGATGGGATGCGTGATGTTATGTCATTATAAGATTTGGTTTTTTATATTTTTGAAATGTTTTCAACAGTAGGTTCTAATTGCAATAATAATTCGGTCAGAATTAAGAAAAAATAAAAATAATTTAGTATTCAAGATTCGACTGTCAACTGCCATATTGGTCAAATTGTCGTCAGTATCTAGAGGTATACTCGGAATTTTAATTCGATTCCAGATTTGACAATTTCAGTGTTGCAACAAGTACTAAATAGTGACGTTGCGAAATTATTCGATATGGAAATGCAATATTTCGGGATCGATTCTTCTCGTTTATAATTTTACTCCCGTAACTAAGTATATCAGGAAATAAAATATTTCTGAACCGATAATTTAGTTTTGACGATTAATTAACGATCTGAGACTTTTCTTTTATAATTGTGTGTGAAATAAATAAAAAAATGTAATCATGAAGGAAAATGACAAATAAAACAGATAGATGTATTATGGTAATAAGTTATTTTATAAATTGTCGCCGTCATCGCTATCGCTATCCTGTCACTTTCTGTAACATTTATTATAAAACACACACACTGATTGTTTATCGATTTTTGTGTTCATCACTA